TTACTAAAAGCTATCTCATCTATTTAATTTCTACTCTTTAGAGTGGATGGAATAGTGAAACTACATTCAGAATTATAAACTCATTCTAGTTATTCAACACAAAGTCCTTTCCTGATATTCACTTTTAATCTCTTTTAACTTCATCATAATATGTTTTATTAATGTTTAATAATACCAATGGCAATATAATTTAAAGTCTACGGAATAAACACTAGGTGTTTAGTCTTAAGAAACTATGTATTGCTAGAAGATATTTAAGTCACCTCAATCACTACTAACTTTTACACTAATAACACATATGCTCACAACCTTTGATTAGCTGCAAAGTAAAAATAATTTGAAGGGTTTCACTTTGTTACTAATTCTCTATTTCTTCTTAAATTTATCTGTAAGGACTAGATTTCATCAATGGACAGTGGCACTATGCGATTGTTCAGAATTTTAAACTTCATTTAACGTATGGATTTGTGTGACACCAACAGACCCGCATACACAGAACTTTAAAACCTAATTATTCACTAGAATAAGTTTTAACTCTGTATTAATTAAATGTTCTAATATAGTCTTTATAACTGCAGTGAAAAAACTAGGGTGTTGTACATTTTTACTTCTTAGGTCTGTCTACTGTAGCATAAAGTATAAAAACTACACAGACCACATCATATTTCTAGAAGATGTAAACAAGTATATAACATGTGATATCATTTCACATTAACTTTGCTGAAGCAAAGTTTTACCTGGAAACATTTCCTGTATGGATCACTTAAAAATATTGGTGATAATTGAGAATATGCTACTTTTAGAAGAAAAGTAGATGCTATCACACAGTTTATGTGTCGTTTTCATGAAACTGACCCTTGAAGCTTTATATTTTCTTGGTGCAATAAAATCTCTTTTGCTATAAAATTAGGTTTTATCAGCCTGAGACACTTAAATTTAAAATATAATATGTACACATATATACCTACATACTTGTTCCTAAAATTGTTAATACTTTTTGTATTTAACAAATTGTTACCAAAATGTGGAAATATTATATTTTCTGAATAATTACTCTTACGCTGTTCATAATTTAGTACTTAAAAATTTGTTACCAAAAATACTATCAAGTTAACGTTAGTATTTAAGAATATGAAATAAACATATTAATAATATAAAATAACACTTTACCTTAACTACCTTAAAAATTATGCAAGAAACTATCTTTTAAGGATTCTTGTGTGTGGGAAATCCAGGGCTTCTAAGTTTTAAAGACTGCTTATGAGAGAAGTTTGATTCTTTTATCCCTCATAATTATGAGGCCTGTTGCTTGAAAATTTTTCTTTAATATTTTCATACTGTTTTATCATTCTGTGATTATCTGAAAGCATAGAAAAGTAAAACATCAGCAGTACTTTATAATACCTATCCCAGAAATCCAGGATGTCAGGAAATTCTGTCAAAATACTTATATGAAACTCACCCAGATTGGGGGCATAGAGCAGAGAACTCCAAGATGTAATCATCTAAGAAAAAATTTTTTTTGACTATGCATTGTTCTACAATACTTGAATTATACCTTAGAATTTTTGTTGAAACAGTTTGAATGTTTACTTTTCTTGATAAAGAGGGCTTACTGACAATTACTTTATGAACAATTATTAATGGATTACTGACATAAATGTCCTTCTAGCAATGTTCTAATTGTGGGAATGTTGGTTAGAAATATTTAATTGAAATTTGTGGAGGAAATTAAGATTGAGAACTTATTTAGAAAACCTAAAAGCCCTGCTAGCAAGACTTTCACAGGTCTGTACTTCTGAGTGCAAACTGTGCTTTTCTAAAGTTAATAGTTAATAAGAATGAACTTTGAAAATAGATGAAAACTGGGCTTTAGAAAAGTCAAACCCCATCCTTGCTTACTACAAGCATAAAACCAGATTCCTAATCCTCCAGCGCCACAATCACCTATTGATTGCTCCGACATCTGTGCCCCTGTTTTTGGAAGCAGGGTTTTCTGCAGAGGCACGGTTGAAAATCTAACCATTTCGGTGCCCTGAGTAATAAACAGCTGACAGCTCTCTCAGGGTGTCACGAAACAACATCACAACTCACGTATTTCTCACCTATGTACAATAGCAATTAAAACTCCTCTCCTCTACCTTTACGAGTTATTCTTTTCAGAAATGCAATTTGCGAAGAAGCTTTTCTATAACTCTTGTTTTACCCTCTAGCAAACAAAGGGTGAGATGCTTTGTGCGCCACCAACTACATACAACCTCCTCCGCCTGGGGCCAGCCTAGACTCAGTTCTGCTGTGGGGCAGGAGAATGATCTCAAAGTCAGCGCCTCTTAACCCCTTTCTTACCCCAGAGCTGAATATGAATAGTCTCTGAACTATCCTAGACTAAGCAGTGGGTGTGGTGCAGGTTTGCACCACAGAGAGCGTCCTGATTTCGGATAGTTGTCAATTGCGAAACGTTCGCCAAAGTATCACTGAGACCACCTCGGGATGGATTGTGTGTGTGTGTGTGTGTGTGTGTGTGTGTGTGTCGCGCGCACTTGTGCACGTCTGTATATGTGTGTTGTAAGGGGAGCGAGTACACCGGAAAAGCAAGTTTAAAAACCGCCTCCCCCCCCCCCCCCAGTATAGTCTGCTTAATAACGCAGTCACAAGAGAAAGTTGGTTAGTTTTCCCGCCCTCACTTTTCAAGTTCACACTCAAGTTCAACCACCGGCTCCCACAAGATGTCTGAGTAGCCTGCATCTTTTCTCATCATATCTTTAAGGAACACCCTCTGATGTCCCGGAGAGCATATTCTTAACGAAATGAATTGGGACCGTGGAGGAGACAGAAAGTAAGGGGTCAAGAGTGGAGAACTGCCACAGGGAGGGTGAGGGACAGACTATGCAACCTTTAAGCTTGCTTTTTCAACAGGGAGTCCCACCAGATCTCCTGTGGGACCCCTTAAATTAGAACTTGTAAATTTTCCTAAGCTGCCAGGCAACAGCGATCCTCTGTACAGGGGTGCGGGCTTAAACTAGTTTGAGAAGTGTGCATGAATAAAGTGCTCAGCTTTCAACCCTGCAAACTGCTGCTATTCTCATCCAAGTGCCTAGTCCAAAAGTGTGTGAACTAACCCATACTGTCTCTGGCAACTGCTTCTTCAGGAACAGTGTGATCAAGCTGCTACTCATTTGTCCGGCATTCCTCCTTTTTCCTCAATTTAAGCAGCTAGTGAACAAATTTTACACCCTAAACCTGAGTAAGAAATGCTTTCAGACATTCAGAGCACAAGAACCCAATCATGGGAGGAACCCATCATAAGTTGGAGAAGGACCTGGTAGACCAGGATTGAGAGAAATTGAATGGAAAGTAGATGGTGGTGAGATAGGACAGAAAGAAAAATAGAGACTGGGCATCTCTCTCTTAAAGGCTCCATGCTTGCCAACTGCCCATTTCTTCCTTAAAGAAATGGGCAGTTGAGCACTTAATCTAACCCATAAGGAGAGACAAAAACTCAAAATATTCAGGGCTCCCCACTTCCAGTGTTCATGCCAGTCAGAACCATCACCCAGGATGCTCCTGTCTGTGCTTTCCTCCCACCCATCTCCCTGGACAATCGCTCCGCTCAGTCTTCCTTTCATTTCCTGCCACATCCCAGGGCCCAGTCAGCTAACCAAGTCTCTGCCCTAGAGTTCATGCTTGGACTGACCCAAAAGCAGAGCAAGGATAGGAAGCCTGCTGCCTTCTCTGGTGACACCTAGAAAGGTATTGGAGAGTGGGTAGGAGACTAACACAGACCAGTGGGAGGCAATGAGTGCAGCTCAACTCTTCAAAGTTCTTTCTGCCTAGTTCACCTGTCGCAGCCCTGGGGATACTTGAAGGTGCTGAACTGGTCTTTTCCAATTCTGTTGCTAGGAAGCTGTAAGGAGACATGAAAGCTCCCCAAAGAAGGCCAAGAAGAGAAACTGGGGTTGGTGTCGGATGCCCAGAGGCTTGCACATAGCACCATGCCACAAGGGCACCAGTTCAGCTCTCCAAATAAAGTGAAGTTGTGACCAAGCTGAAAGTGAGAGAGAGCGGAATACCATACAGCAGGAAGGGAATCAGAAGGTCCTGGCATAGCAGAGGAGGCAGCGGACAAAGTGACTCCTAAAGCTGGCCAGACCAGCCACACCTGCAACTCGAATTGCAGCCAGAACAGGTGTCTCTTTGCCTTCCCTGAAGCGTCGCCCTGCAGCCGCCAGCTTGCACTGCAGTCTTGGGGCGCCATCTGCGCCGGGGTTCCTGGCTAGAGAGTTCACCCAATAAAGATTCCCGCAGTAGCGCTTTGACAAAAGTGCCCGCCCTGCTGCGGAGAGTGAGAACTGTTCCTATGCTCCCGTACTTTTTCAGTACAACTTTTTCAGGGTAGCGCTCCTCTCCGGCCGCGCTGGCTCTCGCAAGCAGACCTGACCAACTCGCCGCTCCCACGCGAGAGATGCGTTCGGGTCCCCGAATCCCCGCGACACCGCCCCTAAGCCTACCACTCCCACGAAGGGATGTGCCTGCTGGCCAGGACCCACGGGTCTGGTAACCTGGAGTGTGTGCCGGCCCGCCGCCTGCCGGTGCGCCCTGCGCGCCCAACCTTGGCCGGCGACACCGAGCGCTAGGCGCTTCGAGTTACTTCTGCCGAGAGGCATCTTACTCTTGTCTCTCCTTCCATAACCAGTTCGCTTCTTCACCCGAGAGTGACACGCAAAAAAAGGTTCAGTGCAACTCACGCACAGACAGGGAGCAAGTAGCGTCTCTCCCCTTTCCAAAAAGCGCCCTCCCGCGTCGCTCCAGAACTCCCGAGACATCAACACCTTCCCACAACTTTCTACGCCTAGGCCATTTGCAGCCCACCTTCGAACGCGAACTCGGACCAGAAGCCCGCCGATCTCTACCCCCTTAGACAGGATGCTCTCCCCTCCTCCATCTCCCCAGCCAGCTGGAGTTGGCCGGACCCGAGCCTCGGTGTCCGTGGGCTCGCTTACCTCGCATGGTGTGGCCGCTCTCCCGCTACGCGTAGTCATGAAGCTGCTCCCAGCCCGAACCCCGGAAAGCCCAAAAATCCCGCTCAGCACGAGTGAAGAAGGTGGAAGGCGAAGAGCTGCTTCGCAGAGAAAACCATCCCTTTAGGCGGGCGCCGTGGCCGGAGGGTGACGTTTGCCGCCGCCGCGGCCGCCGCTGCTATGTGAACAGTTTGATGATGGTGCTGATGACAGTTTTGATGGTTGTTTGTTTGTTTTCAGGAAGGGTGAAGAAAATGTGCTGGCTGGTGTCTGGGTTTTGTTTTTCTTTTGTTTTTCTTTTTTCCCCCTTTCTCTCCAATGTACTTGCTTTTTAAAAATGCCACCGCCTCCGGTTCAGAAGATTTCTTTTGTGATCACTTGCACTGAGGAGGAGGAGGAAGGGCAGCCGCCGGAGGAGGAGTTGGTGGTGGTTTTGTTAGTTACAAAGAAGAGGGAGAAGGAGCAAGGAGAAAAAAAGGAAACAGAATGAAAAGGAAGAAAGGCGGCGTGGATGGCGAAGCATGTGCGTTTTCACATGACATCTGTGCCTGTTAGCGGATCCACAATGTGAATTTTCACTGTTCAGTACAGGGAGGAAGGGAGCGAGAGAGAAAGAGAGAGGAGAGAGATGGAGAGAGAGAGCGCGGAGAAGGGGCTTATACGCCTGGGCGGGTTTGGTGGGGAGTTCCAGGCCCCGCCTTCTGTCAGCGCCTCCACCAATCAGCCCTATGGAGAGGCTGGGACAGCGGGGGAGGGGACCGGATCCGAGCCAAGGGGCGGGGGTTAGGGACGCCGGAGTCGCAGGCGGCCGGGGCTGGGGCTTGGCTTTAGAGACTGTCAAAACTGAACAGAGACTTACTGAGAGATTCGGGCAGATCCGCAGGTGGCATTCATTTCCACTCCAATGGTGGAGGGGAGGGAAGAGGTCACTGACCAGTGCTGCGGAGGCCAGAAACGTAGGGCTCTGGGTCTCCCGTTCGCCACCGCTCGCAAAAAGCCTGTGGGATCGGGACAGTTAGTCTGAATTTATGACAACGCTCTACAGAGTCCTTTTCGGTAAACTTTGCAAAACTGGTTAGGGGTGTCTGGGGGGACGGTTCAGTTCTAGTAGATGATACAAACCAACTTCCATCACTTTGAAAACAACTAAAATGCAGTCCCGTGCAAATAACCATCGACTGTCTATAAACATCTTTCAGAGGCTTCCCACTTCCAGTCTTACAACTCACACTCGCGCACACGGAGATATCTTTTGTTTTAACATTTGTTATTGCTCTCTTTTGGTAGGAATTGATTTTGATGAGCATTTGGACTATCTCCTGGCATTGGGGTACAGGATTTAAGGCTACTAGCCCCAGGATTCTGTTTGTTACTTGTAATAGAGTTATTCAGAGTTGTATTGTAAATGAAACTGAGTCATGTTTAATAATAATAATAAAAGACAGACATGGGAAATGCGCCTCACTGGCTCAGTCTTAAGGCCTTGAGGCTTCTTCTCACTAGTGTACCTGTTGATGGAGCAGCCCTCCTCAGCCTTTCCATACCCAAAATAAGTTTTCATTGGTATTTATTTATATTATGTCATGTAACACAAAAACAATGCAAAAATGGCAATTATTTAGTTAATTAGATCATTCTACGCTGTCAAGTAATTCTTTTTCACCATGAAATAAAAAATGGATTGCTTACTGACTCTTCACTGGTGTTAAATTGACTTTCCCTACTGTGTGCCCTTCCATTTGCAAGCCAATATGTAATTTAGACAAATTTTAGTATTAAGAGTGAAAGTTGATTGAGTCTTTAATTAAATGAAATGAACAAAAGGAAGTTTCTGTTCAGAATAGTTACTCCCTTATAAATACCTTTCCCCTAGATCTGTAATTGACACAGTAGTTAATCTTTTAAGATAATATTTAAGGCTCTCTGGTTTTATCATTTTTAATCAAGTAAAATATATTCATCATAACTACATTAAAGCTGCACTAAGTTATGCCTAATTTAGTTGCTTCATTAAAAATTACTGAATATAAAATAGTCAAGAAACAAATTGTGACTACATCATTTTAATTTTATGTACTTCAAGCAGAGACACAGGAATATTGAAAACTCCAAAGCCTTTGTAAACATTACAATTAGTATTGTTATCATTATTTTACATTTTTATTTCTTAATAATTTCAAACTTCAAAAACTGTATCTCAGGTAGTCTTAAATTTTAAACCTTTATCAAATTCTGAAATTTCTTTTACTGCTCTACTATTTGTACTTCTTTAAAATGATAGTTAATGCATATATGAAAAGTATTTTCCCACTTTTACACTTTTCTATGTTCTTTGCTTTGTGGGCTCAACAATGCATAATTTGGCTTAGAAGTATATCACATATTTTGTAGTCCCTTTTGAACTCCTTTGAAAAAAATTAATCAGAAATAATAACTTTAACCTCATTTTCAAAACCATATGCATATACATATACATGTATGTATGTGTATATGGTGGTACAAAATAATATTTTCCTTTTTGAGGGAAATAATTGCTGATCATTGGCTATCATGTGGTTTCTGGGACATTTTGGATCTTCCTAAAAATCAAAAAATTAAATTCCTGAACATTTCTAATAACTGCCAAATTATTTCAGCTGAATGGAACCTATTTTTGTAAAAATAAATATTCAGGACTTAAATTAAAGAAATCAGCATTTATCTAAGAAATCAGAAATACATATGTATAATATGATATTTCTGTAATCTAACTGCCAGCAAATATCCATATTTTGAGTGGCATAATAACAATTTATTAATATACTATTCTTTTCCCATAAAGTACAGTGTCAGTAATCTTATTTGAATGATTATGGAACGATAACTATTTGGTTTGGTTTCCTATAATCTTGAAACTGCTTTTTATTCTGGACCTGAGGACAGAATTTTTGACACCAAAAATTTGATAAATTTAAATGAAATCAGTAAGGGAGTACTGTACTTAATTTCGAGTTGATATAATTTCACTGAGCCTGGCCTGCTTACCTGCTCTCCCTGCATATCACCATCCCTCAGGTATAGCTGTAAAGTCAGGGAATAATAATGGCAAGAAGTGTCCGAACAGAGGCAGAGTTTAATATCAGTCAGTCAGTGAGGATGACAATGACATGTAGGAGTACTTCAATCCTAAAATGCTTGAACCAAACTAGGAAGAAATGATTCACTGCATTCTGAGTTGGTTGGTCTGTATAGAGAAACTGTTTTTAAGTTAATAATGGATCATGGAAGACCACTGACAATATTGATAGCAATATTGTACTATTGTACTTTGAAAAAAGACTGAAAGACTTTGTTTTTTTCTTTAGCCCAGTGTATGGAACTGTGTGGCCATGAAAGCTGAGGAAGAGATATACCGCTGCCTTAAGTATTGGAAAAGTCAACACAATATGAGACCTTTTAATATTTGAACTTATTAGAGAAGGTGCAATAATGAACTATTGCTGAAGGCATTCAAGAAAAGATGCATGAAAAACTGGTAAAGATGCTCTACTGTACAGATTTCTGCACTAGGCTATTAATTGCATAGGTTAACTCCAATATATTCTGTAACTCTCGAGTGCATCCACAAATAGGTAGAAAAATAACTAGATTTTTCTGTCTTTTATAATTTTTCTGTCTTTTATAATTACCAGTGTCCTAGCATTGAACAAAGGTATGCTTCCTAGCTGAGCATTCAGATTTCTTGAGAGTAGAACACAGGATTTCTCTAGAATTTGGAAGAGCTTGTACTTTATAAAGCATTCAACGAATGCTTTATACCTTTTTGGTCTACTGGGTGTGAATCAGAAATGTAGCTAAGACTTGCGTAGAATTTCTTCTTTCTTAGTTTCTAAAGAACAACACAGACGGAGAGATGGGAAAGGATGTGTGTTTGGGGGGTGTACTTGTTAGTATGTAAAGAGATAGAGAATAGAGAAGGGAGGAGAGAAAAGACAGGGAAACATATTTTTGATTTTATATTATCCTAATTTGGAGAATAGAATGATGATTGAATTTGGTTACATAATTATAAAAGACAGAAAAATCTAGTTATTTTCATATTTATTAGTATTCTCAATTTTATTCCCAGATGGTGAGTCTTTATAGTCTTTTGGTACTTTAAGTTCTGTTTCATTTTTAAAATATGGATGCAAATTCAGTAGTTTTCAGAGTGAAAAAGACAGCAAATACTCAAAGTGTACAGTTGTCCTTTATGTAATATATTGAAAAGAATATGTGCCAAAACATAACATGAGCCCAGTAAGTGGGATAAAAGGCAAGGGAATTGTCCTTTGAAAAAAGGATAAAATATACAGGTCAAGGAAAAAAGAGCTAAAATTTATTGAATGGATTTCAGAATCATTCAACTTATCATTTCTACTTCTTAAAAGCACCTACATGATTTGCACTGTATTTTACTTCTCCTTTTAGAATAGGGGAAGCTTAGAAAGGCTAAGTAACTTGCCTAAGAAGACAAGTCTAAAAATGTCAGTTATAGGTTGGAGTCCAGTTGTATCTATTAAAATGCATATTCAGGGCCCTCCCTGGTGGCGCAGCGGGTTAAAGCACAGCACTGAGAATCTAAAGCCGCTTCCGCATGAGTTCGATTCCCACCTGCCCCGGAGGAGACCACATGGCGTGGCAGACCTCTCCTGACCCGCCCGCTGCTCCCCTCAGCAGTGTACTTCGTCGATCTGCCTTTCTGCTCCCCACTCTGTCTCTGGTGAAGCCTCTCGCTGCCCCTGCACCTCTGGCCTGTACCCCAGTTCTGTATGCATAAATAAATAAAATCTTTAAAAAAATGCATATTCAATTTTCAATGTTGAATTTCTAGAGTTTAGAATTCTGTCTGGCAAGGAATAGATGTTTAAAATGTACTTGTGAATTAATAGATATACAGTTCCATTCTTGTCAATACTTGGACAAGTAAGTATATATCTGCACATTATGATTAAAACTAGTTATTTCTACATGACATTAAATAAAAACAAAGTATGACTTTGAAAATAAAAGGATACTGTAAAAAATTGCATAATTGGGCCCTCCCTGGTGGCACAACTGGTTAGGATGCAGCACTGCAAGCTAGCTATAGCCATTTCAGTGCGAGTTTAATCCCCAGCCCCAGAGATGATCCACATGGCACAGCATACCTCTCCTGTCTCTCCCACAACTCCCCTCAGCAGTGTACTTCGTTGATCTGCCTGTTCTACTCCCCACTCTGTCTCTGGTGAATCCTCTCACCCCCTGCACCTCTGGTCTGTACTCCAGTTCTGTATGCATAAATAAGTAAATCTTTAGAAAAAGTTACATAATTATCTAATGCTTGCCTAAGGTCCATCATAGAGCCTAGTAGATACTTTTGTAATACTTACAGGTAATATGGGCCTGAATTAAATTAGAGACAGTAAAACAAACAAACAAACAAACAAAAAGCCAGGAAAGATTGGATGCTAGACATACAAAATTTAGTGGATAAACTGCCCACTTCTGGTGGGCAGGAGTGTTGGCTAAGGTGAGTTCAATGTCCAGCCAAAGTTATCAAGAGTATGAGGCTGATAGAATGAATACATAATTAATAGGAGAAGCAGTGTTTTGATGAAATAGTGAGA